TTTTTACAGGGAAAGACTGTGAAGTTCAGATCATTAAAATAAAAATAGTGGGCCAGGGATGTAGCTCAGTGGTGCAGAACCTGCCTGGCAAGTGAGAAGCCCTGAGTTCGATTCCTGGCACCCCCCCCCCCCATATATATAAAGTCAAAGATCGATTAGAAGTTTAGTTTTTAGTTTTCTAGGGGCCGGGGATTGAGCTCAGTGGGACTGGCACCTGCCTCGTAAGTGCAAGATCCTGAGTTCTATCCCTGGTACCAAAAAACAAAAAAAGAAGTTTATAGTTTTCCAGACTTTTGGTTCAGTGTTGTTTTCACTAGAGAATACTACTTTATTATTTATTGACTGTCTGAACATGGCTAGGTGCTATACTGGGCACTTAGCCTTATTAAAAACTTGATCTTGTTGGGCATAGTGATGCAGGCCTGTAGTCCCAGCACTGTGGAGGCTGAGGCAGGAGCATCCCAGGTTTGAGGTTAGCCTGGGCTACCTAGTGAGTCCCTGTCTCAAAAAACCAAAACTTAAAATCCAAAGCCAAAACCAAACCAAACCAAAACTCCAAACAAAATAAAGCCAACAACCCCACATCTGGCAAAGAGGCAGCAAGGAACTGATAGTCAGGTAAAGAGAATAGCTGGATGAGTGATTGGCCCTAGACTCTTGTTAACATGCATCTGAACCGAAATCTGCTAAGCGTGTCAACCCTTCCATGTGCTTTAACCTTCCAGTAATCTATGTTGAGTACTTAAAAGTGCTTTATTATTTATAGGGAAGAAGGCCTAGAAATTATGATGGTGTGAAAAGTAGATACATTTTTGTTTCTTTTTCAGAGGATAGGTCGAGGAAAATAGATGGGATTCACAGGAAGTATTTTGGCTTCATAAAATGAAGAACTTTTCTGAAAAGCACAATATTGCTATTCAGTAAAGAAAAAGGGGATCGATCATATTAACATTGTTGAATTTTGGAAGTATGTATGTAAGCCTCTTCTATGTGTTTGTTAGGAATGTGGAAGATGGGAGTCCTTGTATTATAAAGAGACAGGATGAGTTGGCTAAAGATAATATAAAGTGCTGACATGTAGTTTAATGTTTGGTAATGGCAACTATAATAGTAATTAGATAAAAAGATACTATAAAATTTGTGAAGCTAGTGGGAGAGTAAGCAGAGACGTGATAAATAACAGAAATTAGCCAAGCAGAATGGAGAGGAGGGAGAGTGAAAGCATTGTTTCTGGATCAGGGGGTCAGTTTCCTGGACGTAATCAGTTTGATGTAGAATATTGGGTGAAGGTTAGAAAGAAAGGTGTTTAATATACAGGAGAAAAAGATAGGAAGAGAACATGAAATTACCTTAGTCTTTTACTTAGAGATACAAATTGCTATGTTTTATAGTCTAAACATTTTAGAACATGAATGTAAAAGTTATATACATGTATCTACAGATAATTTATATCATTAAACATGTCATGCTACCTTTTAATATTTAATATACATCAATATTTTATATTAGTAAATGTACATGGTAATCTTATTGCTGCATAGAACTCCATTACATGGTTGAAAATATTTATAGGTATTTAGGTTTTTCTCCCATAGTATAAACACTCTTCCCTCCTCTCTATCTGTGCTGCCGTTGTTAGAGTTGAGGCTACCTTTATGAGCCTATCTTGTATTCATCCCTTATTTTTTCTTCACCTTTTCTTGTCCTCCTGTAGACTGTTTTCTGTAGTAGCTGACCTCACCCACTCAGTGAGTAGGGAAGTGGGTTGGAATGGAGTGTTACCCACTGCTCTGCCAGTCATATAAAAGTGCAGCATATTTTATCATGTACAATACAGCATACTTGAAAGTAAATGATGTTTATATATTTACCAATTTATATGTTTATTATTATTATAGAATGTACTCCTTCATCTTATTTAAAAGAAATCAGAGTGTTTACTATAAAGCAGAATGCCATGTTATAGCCCAGGTACCGTTTTTCCACGTGTCTTAGTTGTATCATTTTCTCTGGTGTTTGGCTTAATCTCGTGTCATTTTGTCCACTACGTATGCTGTGAAGCCTACATGTGTAGTAGGCTGCACTGTCTAGGTTTGTGTAAGCACACTGGTGTTTGCACAGTGATACATTTCTCAGAAAGTGTTCTTGTCATGAAGTGATGTGACAGTGTCATTCTTCTGCATCACTGGGTGTGGAACCTAGGAGTGCTCTTCCACTGAGCCACATCTCCAGCCCTTTTTATTTTTCATTTTGAGACAGGGTTGTTAAGTTGTCGAAGCTGGCCTTGAACTTACAATCCTCCTGCCTTTCAAATATGTAGCTGGAATTATAGGCATGTACCACCACATCTGGCTGTATAAAGTAATTTGTTGTGTGTTTGCTGATGCTATAGCTTAACTGAGTGTAGGGGCATAAAATAGCCGTCAGTTATAAAATACTTTTTGAGTGTCTGTAATATAATAATTCATTTTGTTAATTTTTTAGAGAAAAGTAAAGGCATTTCAGATTACATCCTCAACAGTTATTAGGACTATTGTGGGTGATTCGTGTGGCTGATTTTCTTAGTGGCATGGTGATAATGTTGCCTAGCCTTTGCAAACCTGTGTGAATCAAACACCGTTCTACATCTGGCAAAGAGGCAGCAAAGAACTGATAGTCAGTAAAGAGAATAGCTGGATGAGTGATTGGCCCTAGACTCTTGTTAACATGCATCTAAACCGAAATCTGCTAAGCGTGTCAACCCTTCCATGTGCTTTAGAAAGGCTTATGGATGAACTTTTAACTTAAGCTTGGAGGTAGATTGACTGTTTTGAAGGTAAGTAAATCAGGTATGCTTTAATTAAAATCTTTTGGTTGCAGGTTAAGGGAGAATAAATCTAGCTTAGAATAAGCAAAATGGGGAGTTTATGAGGAGGCTATTGGCCCATAAGACTAAACTTTTGGCACCTTGGTTTATACACATTAGTTTGGCAGACTGATCAAGGTTAAATAAAGCTGGCCACACTTTGATCAGGTGCCTGCTTCACATCTAGTTGATCATAGCCATGAGTGTGCAGCCATCTCCTAAGTGTACCTGGCTATTGTAGGCCCTCAAAGGGTGGGGTGAGCTGTAAGTTATGAGAGAGAGTGAACTTGTAGTGAATGGTATGAGCTTCCTCAGAGATATTTACTACACTCTTCCTTTCATAGCAGGTTACTCTTCAGTTATAATCAGGAGCCTGTGAGACTTAGGCATTGTAAAAGCTTATAGTTTCAATTTAATATACTTAGAAAGTAAAGCTAAATCCTGTTGATTTTATTCAAATGTATCATCAGTTACTTTCATTTTAGACAGCAGCCAGTTAGGAGTACAAAGTGCCGGGGCATGAGGCCCTTGGCAAATGTTGTGGTTGAGTGAGGAGGCCCTGAGACAGGAAGTAAGACCCCCTCAGATATGGGTCTATATTCCACATTCATGCAGCGAACCCTCCTATTGCCATGATGATCTCATCTTCACGGTGACTCTTAGGTTTTCTGTTTATTGGGTTTCTTTTGTTAGTGGGCCAAACTGAAAAGCCTTTTCTGTTGTGAACCATTGAATGAAGCAAAAATTTACTGAGGCTCCTTCGAGGTACATTTTTAGGGTTTCTATTTATGGAAGCCTTGTCCTGAATGTGTAGAAAGACTTAAAACCAAATGTTTATGGAATCTTTTTTTTTTTGGTACCAGTGATCGAACTCAGGTCCTTGCACCTGCGCAGCAGGTGGCAAAACCACTGAGCTAAATCCCTGGCCCCAATGTGGAATCTTTTTTTAAAAAAATTTTTTAAATTTTTAAATTTTTCCCCCCCCATTAAGTTTATTGGTACATTTTAGGTATAAAATACATTTACAGAATGTGATTTTTTTGTTGTTGTTGTATGTTTTGATTTTTTTTTGGTACTGGGGATCGAACTTGGGACCTTGGGCTTGTGAGGCAGGCAGCGGCACCATTGAGCTAAATCCCCGGCCCTCCCAATATGGAATCTTTTAAAAAAGATAAAATGTAAAGTTATAAGTAAATGGTTAGATGCTGGTAGGTAATCCACCTTTAATGTGTACTAGAATCTAACTTGTTAACCACTTCTGTAAAACCCAGCCTAGTCAGCATATGACCTGGAACTATAGTTCCTCCTTTTTTAAAATTAATTATTTTTATTAGTACACGTTTGGAGCACATAGTGATTACATGCATTGTGGGGAGTTGGTACGTCATTAACCCATCTTCTTACAGTAGCTTCTTCAATGGTCTCCCTGCTCTCACCCTCTGCAGTGTCCTTGCAAAGGGCAGGGTTTAATGGTGGTTTGCTCACTATTCTACTTAGAATTCTCTAGTGAATTCCCTTTCTATAGAAAACCTGAAATTCTTTCTGCGACCTGGGAAGTCCTACAGGATTTGACTCCTCCCTCTTTCACCTGAACTCTTGCAAAGTAGTCCTCATTGGGCTGCAGTCACAGTGACCTGCTGGCACACTCACTTTAAGGCTGGTGGCTGCCTCCCTCCCTCCCTCCTTTCTGTCTTCCACTTCCCCTAGGGCCTCCCATGAGCTAGGTAAGCTCTGTACCACTTAGCAAAAAGGTCTTCATTACTCTTTAATTCTCTCACCGTGTTTCACCTTTTCTTCATTGCACAAATAACTTGACATTGTGTTTATTTGTGCATGTTTTCTCTTGTAGACGTAAAGTTCCATGAGGACAAAGTTTTTGTCTTTTCTTTTTTCATAGCTGTATCTTCAGTGCTTAGTATGGAATCGATGCTCAGTAAATATTTGTGTGCTCTGGGTAGTAATTGGGGAAGGCAGTGTATTACAGGTCTGGCACTAGTAAATATAGTGTTGACTGTTGAATTCAGGAGATAAGAAAGAAAATTAATACCCCAAAATTCTTACATATTTTCTTTATAAAGCTGGTAGAATTGGTTGCTTTATATAATTAGAGTTGACGTTTATCCAAAAAATACTACCTGGTTGTATTCCATTTAAGATGAAGACGATGACTTTATGTGTAAGAAGACAGCCTCTAAAGCAAAAGAGAATGGAGGATCTACAAATACTTACCTTGGGACATCCAACATGAAGAAGAGTGAAGAAAACACAAAGAACAAGAATAAACCTTTATCACCAATAAAACTCACACCCACATCAGTGCTGGATTATTTTGGAACTGGCAGTGTCCAAAGATCAGATAAGAAGATGGTGGCAAGCAAAAGAAAAGAGGTAAGTGTTCTGTATACAAGCAAGAATGTTGAAGGTTGCTGGGCATGGTGCTGCATACCTGTAATTTCAGCACTCAGGAGGCTGAGCCAGAAGATGCCAAGTTCAAGCTCAGCTTGGTCTACATAATAAGACCCTGTTTCAAAAAAAAAAAAAAGGTCAGAATTAATACTCATTGATATTAATGAGAGAAGTTAGGATGTTATAAACAGTTCTACATATTTTTAGTAATGAAAACAATTTTCCATTGATTATGGAAAAATGTATTGCTTTTTAGAGGAAAGGGAAATTAAAATATGATATATTTAATTTTTTAAACTTGAAAACAGGAAAAAGAAATTTTTTTTGGTAGTGGAGATTGAACTCAGGACCTTGTGCTTGCAAGGCAGGCGCAGCATCAGTGAGATAGATCCCTGACCCAGGAAAAATTATTTGAACCATAAGAAAAAGTTGTAATTCTTAGAATTTAAATTGAATTTTCAGAATGCTAGCTCATTTTACTATTGACCTCAGCCATGGAAAATTAGACAATACATTTGTTCCCAAATGAGACTATAAATGACTTTCTATAGAGCTAGAGCATACCTATGCTGTACTTTTGACCTTCCTTTGACTGGTAGTGGAGTGATCTTTTTTTAGCCATTTAGGAAGCAGAGATAAATGATAGTGAGAGTAGCCTCCTGAGTTAGATAAGCATCCCAGATGGGGTGTGTGTGTGTGCTGATTTCATTATCGCCATCATTCTCTGTCACTGGTTTGCCAGTGTTCTGGGCTGTTTCTTAAATGAAGACATTAATCTCAGGTTTTTTGTGTGTGGGAGTGTGCTTCTTTTGAACACATCAGTAGAAGTAAGAACCATCTGTCTGTGGGATCTCTGCTCAGGAAATTGGATGTGGTCAGGGAGTAGTCATGAATTTGACTTTCTGTCTGGTATGGTTTGTGGTCGTTATGGGTACACTTATTTCTCATTGGTAAATTTAATCAGCTATAGTCAAGACAAATCTTATTTTTAACTTAAGGTTTATGCTGCTCTTGCTTGATTTTCTTTCAAATATAGACTTCACAAAACACAGATGATTCCAGATTAAATGATGAAGCCATCGCCAAGCAATTACAACTTGATGAAGATGCAGAGGTATTGACATTTCACTTAGATATCACTAATAATTTGGTATTATGACTTGCTCTTTAGTTTAGCCAGGCAAACAGTCAAGATTGTTCCATTCTAACTTTGAATTGAACCTCATCATAGGTTGTGTGTAAAATAAATACATGAAAAATTAAAATTTCTACAAAGATAAATGATGAGAGTAAGGGGTAATTATTTACTAACGATTTATCTTTAGAGTTCTTTGATTGGGAGGCTCCTGTAATATATTTAAAATGACTGAATGTGCTCATAGCCCTTTTATGTTCTCTGTGAGCAACCTCACCCATTCCTGTGGCTTTATCAACTACATATATGCTGACGACCCCTAAATCTGTCTCCAGTTCAGTTTCTCTGGAGGTGTAAAACCATATATTAATTTAAAAAGTATTTATTGAGCACTTACCGAGTGCCTAGCACTGTTCTAGGTATTAAAGGTTTTGAAGTTAAAAAAAGAAAGAAAATGTAATGGAATAAAAGTAAAGGGATAGTTTTGGGGTATGTGGGATTATGAGTGTTTTATTTCTACTGGAGCAGTGAGGAAGGTCCCTCTGAGGAAGTGTGGAGGCTAAGCAGCAGAAAACGTTACTCTGGAGTGGCAGTGTAGCTGCAGTCAGCCTCTCCTCCGAGCCAGTGTGTGCCAGGCGGCCACCACCTTCTGTGCATGCTGAGCTGCGTGGGAAAGCGCAAGCGTGTCTGTCATGGGGAACACATATATTTCTTTCCATTGGCCTGCGACCCTTTTCTTGGAGTTGATGTGCACAGGTGTCCTTATTTTGAGCCGCAAGGGCCTTCTATGAGGACCAAAGTAGTGGGTCATATTGGCTCCTTTATTGTATAACTATTGACATAATGCAGATGCTCCTGTGAGACAAGTACAGGCTGACCTGAAGAAGCCTTCCTGGAATGCTTGTTTATCACCCCATTCATATTTCTCACCCTCAAGCCCTTCTGGAGAGCTCAGCCTTTCACCCTAATGGTGCAGTCTCCTCCTGGAACTTGCCTGCTGTGCTCTTGCAGCATATCAGTAAACTCTTAACTTTCCTATACTTTTTGACTGTGGGAAAAAAATTTTTTACCACCCATGGTACAGGGTTTCCACGTGGTGTGCCTTGCACAGCAGAAGTGGCCTTGTGGCAGAAATGAAGTGATAACTGAGAGCTGTGGTGCTGGTACTGAGGGAGGAAGATAAGCAGAGGGAACAATGGCAGGTGGAAGTATTGTGAGGTAGAAATGTGCTTCATGTGTTCAGGTGACCCAGATGGCTAGAGAAGAGTGATGGAGAGGGAGAATGGATGAGGTGATTTTGGAAAAATGACCAGCAGTACATTCTCTTAAGTCATGACAGGACTTTAATAGTAACTAAGAGGACTTTGAATGGTAAGGATGTAGGATTTTGATCTCTTATGATAGGATGCCAGTGGAGTTTTGAATAGAGACGTGAGGAGACTTGATAGATCTTCTGTGATGCTAATGGACCATGGTGGGGCCAGAGCAAAAGCAGAGCAGTTTGTAGGACAAGTGAGAGAAGACCCTGGCTTGTAGTAGGTTGTTAATGGAAGAGGGGGTAAAAAGCGGTCGTATCCTGAATGTGCCTTACTGGCTAAATGGTGATATTATTTACTGAGGCTGGAACACAGGATGCAGAACAGGTTTGGTGTAGAGAAATCAAGAGTTCTGTTTTGGACACATTAAGTTTGAGATGTTTGATAGACTTGTAAATAGAGATGCAGAGTAGGTGGTTGAATAGAGGTGTCTGCAGCTCAGGGTAAATAGAAGTCTAAGCTGAGGATAGGAATTATGAGCATTTGAATGATATTAAAACTAATGCACCTGGATTAAACCATGGGGAGAAAATGTAAACTGAAAAGAAATAGATCTCAGGATTGAGCTCTGGGGCACTGTTAACATTTAGAGATCAGGAAGAGAGAGATGATTCATAAAGGAGACTAAGAAAAACAAAAGGAGGCTAAGAAAGGGTGGCTAGTGAAGGAGGAAGATCAGGAGAGCTTGGTGTTTTGTGGCATAAAGAAAATATTTGAAGGAGCAGTGCTCATCTGTATCCAAGGGTCCAGGCCTAGGTACCTGCAGTTTGAATCTGTCTTCTGTTTTTTAGCTTAACTGCCACTTTCTCACACACTGAGCTACTCTATTAGAACTCTCTCCTTACAGCTGCCATGATCGTTATTGTAATTGTGATTTAAGTGTCTTCTCTCTATAGGCTATAGTTGCCATCTAGCAGTGATATTTATGTCTCACAGCTATCATGGCATCTTAGTGCCTGGCCTAGAGCAGATTGAACTTGTGACTGTTCCCACTTTATTAGTTTGGCAGTTTGTAGTTTGTGTTTTCAAAATCTTTTTCTAACATATTTGATTGCCCTGAATTACATTATCTGCAGATAGCAAGGTGTCATAAATAGCTAGGTTAAACTGTGAAGTAGGGACCTGACTTTTTCTGACCTGTCCCAGATAGTGGAGGATTAACCAATTCTTTCCAAATCAGGAGTATTGCTTTGTAACATAATTCTGTTTTTTCTTTTTTTTTTGGTACCGGGGATCGAACTCAGGTCCTTCTGCTTGCGAGGCAGGCGGCGGCACCACTGAGCTAAATCCCTGGCCCCCTGTTTTCTCATTTTTATTAAATTCTTTCAGAATTTGGTTTGGGTAACTAGTCTTTTAAAGTATTAGTGATTTATGATTTCTTTCCTAATTATCCTGCTGAGTTCCCCTCCTTTCCCCTCATTTTTATATCTTTATATTTAGTAAATATGTGTCCAATATCTAATGCTCAAGTCAGTATTTTAAATGCCACATTTTAGCTATGTTAAACATTGTGTTAAAATATAAAACTCGTGATCACATGATGCCATAATCAGCAATAATGATTTCTAATGGAACTATTTCAATTTTTCTGTTTTCTAAAACATCTAAAATTCTTTTTTTTTTTGAGACAGGGTTTTGCTATGCAGCTCAGGCTGGTTTCAAACTTGTGATCTTCCTACTTCAGCCTTCCGAGTATAAAATCTATATTACATAGTTGAAATTTTGGAAACATAGCATAGAATTCAACCATAAATCCTTGCAAGGCTACTGGTGGTTTAGGATTTGCAGGACATCTCTGTGACTAAGATTTTTGAGTTGTTTTATCAATTAGATGTATAGGTCAGTTATGGTAAAGAAATGATAGGTAAAAGAGAATGTATTAATATGTCTCTGTCTTGCTTACTTACAGTTCCGCTTAGCTTGTTTTGTTGTTTTTGTTGCTAGGGATTGAACTCAAAGCCTTGTGAATGCTATTTACATGTTCTACCACTGAGCTATACTCTTGTTAGTTCATTTTATAACCAGGAAAAGGCTTGCTTACTGTGTTCTCATCAAGAATATGTCAACTTCTAAACCTTTTCTTTTGGATTAGGTGGATTTTGAGGATTTTTGCCTTTGTTTGACTAATGTAGGGAAAGTATTTTTTTCCTTAATATTTGTTATGTGAGGCCATTTAACCAGGGGACAAACCCAGTAAGTTTATAGTAGAAAATAGATTCTATTGCTGCACATTTTCTTCTGGAATGGCTCCATTCTGCTGAAATTGAAAATATTTGGAATAATAGTGAAGTAACTAGAATGTGTGTTTTATTAACGTGTTAGGAAAACTTTTGACACAATGGCTTAAACTTTCAAAAGTTAAAACAAATGCATTTGACTTAGTTGAAAATAGGAATTTGATGATAAGTGACAATGACATTTGTATATGCTTACTATGTGTACAATGAAAATATATAATTTTCTTGACTTATTAGACTTTCTTTTCTTGCACCTTCAAGGTGGTGATTTTTCTCTTAGGTTGAATTTTATTTCAGAGATCTTTCTAGAGTTTAGAATACATGTAAATAAGATCTGTAAGATTTGCAGTAGGACCATTCTGAGAAAACTGTAGACTTCAAATTTTAGAAGAACTATCACTATAAAAACATAGCTGGATTTCTCTCTCATTCTTGCAAAGTTAGAAAATATATGTTCTGAAATCTACTATTTTAGAAACAAACCTGTGATGGTTGACTATTAATAGTGTCCAGTGAAAAACTATCAGGATAATTTTTTGTTGTTGCTTTTTGGTACTGGGAATCGAACTCAGGGCCTCGAGCTTGCCAGGCAGATGTGCCGCTGAGCTACAACCCTTTACCTTGTCAGGGTAATTTTTTAGGAAATATTTTAGTTTTTCCACAAAGTCTTAATTTATGAACAACAGCAAAAAAGCATCTCACTGTGCTGACACTTTTTACAGCTGGAGAGACAACTGCATGAAGATGAGGAGTTTGCCAGAACATTAGCCATGTTGGATGAGGAACCCAAGACCAAAAAGGTGACGTTCGTTACATTGGGCTGTTTGCCTTCTGAATATACAATATAGAACAAAATTCCTCTCCATTCCAGTATTCTAGGCTCTAGAGGTATCATGTGGAGCAGCTCTTCTGGAAAAAAGCTAAATTATTTTAATTTTAAAATTGCTTTTGGAGAAACTCATTTTATATTTTCTAAAAGAAGTTTGCAAGAATCAAAATGAACTAGAACCTTTCTTCAGAAAACAGTGAACTGTACTTTTTATCCCAAGGTGTCCTTATGTATTTGCTCAGTGAATAATGCTTAAAATTCCTTTTTACTATCTTCACAGGAAATATAGTTTTGTTATTTCTAGTTAACCTTAAGATCTATCAAGATAAGTCTCAGTAATATATTTTTGAAATTATGTTTTGGTTTTTTTTTTTTTAAAGTTAGAGACAGGGTGCTAGGTTACCCAGGCTGGCCTTGAACTCAGGATCCTCTTTTCTCAGCCTCCTGAGTAGCTGGAAGTATTAAAGATTTTTTTTTTAAATTTGAAAAGTCACTTGATCTTCAGTAAATGAGTTTGGGTCTCTCTCTCTCTCTCTCTCTCTCTCTCTCTCTCTCTCTCTCTCTCTCCCCCCCCCTCTCCCCCTCTCCCCCTCTCCCCCTCTCCCCCTCTCCCCCTCTCCCTCTCTCCCCCTCTCCCTCTCTCCCTCTCTCCCCCTCCCCTCCCCCTCTCCTCATCCCTCCCCTTCTTTTAACAGAAGCAAGGTTTTTCATTTATTAAAATTAGGAAAAGAAACAGGTTCTTTTGAGCAAATTTGGACCAAGTAAAAGTAGGAAAAGAAGTACACCCTACAGCTTGGCCTACTGTGAAAGAACAAAGAGCCGATTAGCTGTATTTCTTATAAAACACATTCTGTTAATATAATTATCAGTATCAATATCTGGTTATTGTAAGAGATTTTACTTCTTTCCTTTAAAGGAGAAGATTATAAATGTAGGCATTACTAGGGTTCAAGACTAAGCACAAAGGTATAAGACAGTAGGGAGTGATAGGGACTTTGTCATTTGAAAAACCTTACTCCTACCAGATATTCTAATTCAGATTACTACATACTGTGTCACATACCCTAATTTGTGACCTCTTTATAAAGTGGGGGTTTGTGGGAACAGTGGAGAGATTGGATATATCTATTTCTTTTTTGAGAAAGTACTCTTTCATTGTTCTTTAGAACTTCAGCTGGGTGTGGTGGCACATGCCTATAATCCCAGCACTCAGGAGACTGAGGCAGGAGGATTCCGATGAGTTTGAGGCCAGCCTGGGCTACACAGTGAGTTCAAGGGCAGCCGGAACTACATGGGCAGACTTTGTCTCAAACAAAACAAAACAAAAAAACACTTCAGTCTGTATTCATCTTGGTCTTTTTGGTTTAGATTTTAGTTTTTAATTGCATAATGCTCACAATTTGAGAGTTGAAAAAGAGGCAGACATAGGTGTACATTTCCAACTTGACAGTTGGGATGAAATGGGATAATTTTTTATAGTTGTATTTCTTATAAACTTCCATCTGTTTCCTGCTTTGTAAAATGAAGTAATAAAACATCCTTAATTTGCCATAGAAACTTTGTGGATGAATGAATGCCAGTTGATTATAGTGTCTTGCTAATTTGGAAGGTGACCCTTGTACTGAAAACTTTTAATCCATTTTAACAACAGATTTTGTGATGATAATGGCTTTCCTGTTATTTGTTACATTTGACACTTTTAAAATTTGTTTAGGCCCGAAAGGATACGGAGGAGGGAGAAACATTTTCATCTGTCCAAGCCAATTTAAGTAAAGCAGAGAAACGTAAATATCTTCCAAAAGGTAATACTAACAGGAAAGTAAGAGAGAGCATTTGTCTTTGTAGGACTTTCAATAACCTTGTTTAAACATTCTATTTGATAATTGTATTGCTAAGTGGACATTATTTTATAAAATGATTAGAGCATGTTCTCTAAATATGCCCGTTCCTAGACTTATGGTAGGGTAAAGTTCAAATAAACTTACCATAAATCAAAAATAACATAAGTGGAAAAATACATTGAATACTCCCATCTTGCAGATATTGTGGCTTAGCAGTGCAGTGCAGTATCTCGCTGCTGCCGCCGCCGCCACTGTGTCTAGAGAATACCATCTATCGTACATATTGCTAGCTGGGGGAAAGATCAGAATTCAGAATTCGAAGTATGTTTTCTACTGAATATATTTTTACTGTTATAGTTGAAAAATGAAAAATCATATGTTGAAACATCATAACCCAGGGACTGTCTATATTTTGAAAGCTATTTGGTTACTAACTCATGGTGAATGCCCTTCTGCTGTATGATTTTTTTCTTTTGGTACTGGGGATCGAACTCGGGACCTTGTGCCTTTGAAGCAGGCAATGGAACCACTGAGCTAAATCCCCAGCCCTGCTCTATGATTGTTGTGAGAAATGTATTGTGGCTCTTGGCATCATGCTCATTTCTGAATATATTGCAACATGTGAAGACAACTTGATGCTTTGAGTTTTTCATGTTAGGGACAGTATCATAGAGCCAACTTACAAAGCTATGATAAAAAATAGAGTGAATGTTTAAATTAAAAAAAATTGTTATAGTAAAAAACACATTGCTATTAATCCCCCTCAAAATACTGTCCCTTGCTTTGAACACACTTATCCCATTATTCTTTCCACTTTCTGAAGCAATTGTAGGAGTCATCCTTCATGTTTTTAGGTATACTATTGTGGCTGCCTTCATATCTGAATCAGTTCAAAACATTTACCTTCCACGGTCATTTTGGCTTTAGAGCCAGAAGTCTTAGTGGTGCCAGATGTGGCAAATAAAGTGGATGAAGACATACTGTAATGTTTTTATGAGACTGCCTGTTTTGTTTTTTTTTGTTTTTTTTCCAGTACTGGGGATTGAACTCGGGTCCTTGCGCTTGCGAGGCAGGCAGCAGAACCACTGAGCTAAATCCCCAGCCCAAGACTGCCTTTCTGTTGGATGGTACTCAGCAGCAGCCTGTGCATGTTTTTGGTCACACTTCTTAAAGATACTCATGAAAGAGGACTTCCAGAACTCCTTAAGAAAGTGGAAAGAACAATAGGATAAATATGTTCAAAAGTGAGAGAGTATTTTGGAAGGATTAATGGCAATGTATCTTCTACTATAATACATTAAAAAAAATTAAGTATTCACCATATATTTTGATCACCCCTTGTATAGTTGTCAGGTTATCTGAAGCTCCTCTGCTGCTTTTCTTTCATGTTCCTAACTGAACCATTTGTTAGTATGGTTCTCCGTTGTTACCTGTGGAGGATGGGTTTCCAGGACCTCTGAGGGAACAAGTCTCCTATATAAAGTGACATAAAATTTGCATATAAGATGTGCACAGCTTCCTGTATACTTTAAATCATCTCTAGATTACTTTTAATACCTAAGAAAGTGTAAATGCTACATAAATAGTTGTTATACTATGTTGTTTAGAGAATGATGACAAAAAAGTCTGTACATGTTCCGTACAGACCCAATTGTGTTTAAAAAATTCAATTTGTAGTTTGAATCCATGAATGTGGAATCTATGGATATTGAGGGCTGGCTGTATAAATGGTCTTAATCCTGTAAGTGAATCTGTTTATATAGCATCTTTTGGTCTTGACCCCTGCATATTTTGAGCTTTCAGACTGTATAACAAACAAAATTTTTGTGTGACATATTCTAGTCAGTAAGTTTTCTCTGTAAATTTCAGCACGTCTGGGAGATGAAACCCTTCTCTTTAAATGTTGTTTGTAGTATTATATCAAGACATGATTAGTTTGTATTTAAATGATAGACATGTCTCTTAATTTGACCTGGTTATACAAAGAAGTAATAATACAAATATTTAACCTAAAAAATGTATTATAGGGCCGGGGATTTAGCTCAGTGGTACTGCTCCTGCCTTGCAGGCATGAGGTCCTGAGTTCAATCCCCAGTACCAAAAAACCCCAAAACAAGCAAAAAATGAAAAAAAAAAAGTATTATATAAGCTAGTTAAAATATTAATGTTTTAAAATCACCATATGAAACCATTACTAAGATCACTTGCTTAAAAAAGGTGAAAAAAATGTTGATACTGTGTATCATTCTCAAAAAACGATAATCATCATCTTTTCTTCCTGGTAAAAGCAGAAAAATTTTCAAAAGAGAAAAAGAGCTACAATCCTAATAAGCAAACTAAATGTGAAAGCTCAAAAGAATCTCCACAACATTCCTCTTCTCTGAAGGCTAGTTCTAAGCTGGCACTCCTGAAAACAAAAGAAGAGTGTTCCTATAAAGAAACAGAACCTGTGCCCTCAAAGAGAAAAGAAAATACCGTTGAATTGAAAGGAGAGAAAAAAACTCCTAAGAAACCCAAAAGTTCTCCTGCTAAAAAAGAGGTAAGAACTTTCTGAAAAGTGTCTATTTTGTGGCCATGTGTTGATCTGAGTTTCACTGTTTTCAAATTTTATTCCCAACTTCCTCAGCCTGCAGTTCCTTTAAGATAATATTTAAGAGCTGGGAGTGTAGCTCAGTGCTATGGTGCTTGCCTAGCATGTATGAGGCCCCGGGTTTAATTCCCAGAAGATAACCTTACTTAAAGCTATTACAAGCCAGGTGTGTTGGCACACGCCTGTAATCCCAGCACTTGGGATGCTGAGGCAGGAGGATTGCCACAAGTTCCAGGCCAGACTGGGTTACATAGTGAGTTCCAGGCCAGCCTGGACTACATGGCGAGACCCTGCTCAAGGAAAAAAAAAAAGCTATTACAGAGTACAGAATTAATAGCTAAATTAGCCATTATTCATTGTTGTTATATATCAGCATTGTGCTGATATGTTAGATGAGGTTTCTCATAATCTTCACAATAACCCTGCAGGATATTTATTTTTATTATTCAAGTTTTAAAGATGGAGAAACAGGCTGAAAGAGTTTTGTGTAGCTGTCCCAAGATTTCTCAGGTAGTAAGTGACAGAGCCAGCCTAGAACTCAGGTCCTCTGAGTATAGAAATAGCAGTGGAACGTAGCATCTCCAGGCACGGACTATGGAGCCTTTCAGATCACAGCCCTGCTGCGGAGCACATGTGAGACGTTTGTCTGCTTTCTTCTCTCAGTGCTTAGGTTTCCTCTTAGAGATAATAATTGTGTCTAATGAGTAAATCTCTAAAACCACTTAGAGAAGAGTCTGGATATAAATATTATTTGGATTTGACCTGATTTTATTCCTTTTTGCTCTCTATTCTTTTTTATCATATGTTTGAGATCCATAATGTCGCATTCATTTTGGGGGAATTGGTGCATATGTACATTGTATCTTGATCATCTTGATCATTTCCCTTCCCCTTCCTCTGCTTCCTTTTCTCATCTTCAAAAACTGCCTCCTTGTTTCCTACCATCTCTCCTTTCTTTTACTGTTTTATTTAATTTTGGGTTTCTCATATAAGAGAAACCATGTGATAGTTCACTTTCTGTGTCTGGCTTACTTCATTTAACATTATAGGCTCAAGATCCATCCATTTTCCTGCAAATGACACACGTTCGTTCTTTAACAAAATTCCACTGTGTATCTGTGCTGCATTTTCTTTATAGGTTTGTCTGTTGATGGGCATTCAGGGTGGGAATGGTGCTAAGTGGTGTTCTTTAAATTTTTATTTTCCAGTTGTTTGTTGGTAGTATATGAAATACAATAGAATTTTTAAAAGCATATATTGACTTTGTATGATGTGACTTTATTGAACTTATTAGAATTTGGAGGGTAGATTTCTTAGGATCTCTGTATTATGTACGGAATCATGTTGTTCATGAATCCTTCCCCGTTTGTGGGCCTTTTATGTCTGGTTGTTGCTTCACTGTGCTGGTGGGGATGTCCAGCTCGGTGTTAGGGCGGCAAGAACTGGTGCCCTTGCCTTACCCTTGCTCTCGAGGGAAAGGCTTTATTCAGGCTCCCCAGGAACTGTGGGCTTATGTGTAGGTTTTGAAAAATGCCTTTTGTCAGGTTGAAGAGATTCCCTTCTATTTCTTGTTTGCTGAGAGATTTTTTTTGTTGTTTTTCTTCTTTTTTTAAACATCAGAAGTAGGATTGAATGTTGTCAAATATTTTCCTGCATCTTTGGAAATGATGATATGGTTTTTCTCTTTAATTCTGTTAATCTAGTCAATCATACTGATTTAAAAAGAATATTAAACCACAACTGCATTTGCTTTCCTAATATTTTGTTAAGGATTTTTGCACCTGTGTTTGTGAGATAGTTTTATGCTGATCTCATAAAGTGAACTGAACAGTTCTCTATTTTCTGGAAGAGTTTGTGGGACACTGATATTATTTCTTAGATGTTTGATAGATTCCACAAATAAAACCCAATAGAGGCCTAGATTTGGGGTGGCGGTTGGAAGTTTTAAATTATTAATTTAATTATATACCAGATATAGGACCAGTTTTTTTTCTTGTGTCAGTTTTGTCAGTTTGTCGTTCATGGAATTTATTTTATCCAACTTGTAGAATATTTTTTTGGTACCGGGGATCGAACTCAGGTCCTCGCGCTTGCACAGCAGGCAGCGAAACCACTGAGCTAAATCCCCGGCCCAACTTGTAGAATTTATTGGAATGAATTGTTTTCCTTTGGAATTTTTGTAGGGCTTATAGTTATTCCTCATATTGGTAATTTGTTATTATTACATGTTTGTAACACATAATGATTACTGTCATGGTGGGGAGTTGGTACATATACCTAACACATCGTAATTCTTTTTATTTCTTCTTTCCCTCTTCTCCCTCTCTGTTCCTTTTTGCTCTGTATATCAGTGGTGAGTTACTAAAATAATTTTCAAAGAAAAATGGTGAAATAATGAATGCTTTTCATAAGACCTTCCCCCCATATATTGAAAAAGTTAATGTTCTTAAATCTCCAGTTTGGAACCTCTTTAGATTCCTGATGAGAAACAACTCTTCTTTCATGCCTCTTAGGCACTTTGCATTAAAAGCAGAACATTGTCTATTTTAATGGCTCATCACAATTGTTTTTAGTGCAGAACCATGAAATGGTGATGATTTTGAAATGCTTTTGTTAGTGGCCAGTGCTCATAAATATGCTTAAAGGAATAATTAGCTTTTTGGTCTCAGATTTTTCTTCACTAAATACTTATCAGGTGGATAAATGTTTTTCCTCAGGCACACTAAACATGTTCATTTTACAGAGGGTGTCTTTTTATGAAATGAGGAAATTTTAATTGAACTATTACTCTTCATAGTAATTTTCAAAATTAGAAATTTCTCAGAAATTTTACTTAAATAATTTTGAGACTATTGAAATCTAATAAATTCAATTGATCTCAGTCATATAATTCTGACTGCATAAATGGCTGTACTTCAAAATTATTTTATAAACTACATTTCAGTATTTTTTTCATAGAATTAATGTCATAAGCCAGTTGTGGTAGTGCATGCCTGTAATCCTAGCACTTGGGAAACTGAAGCAGGAGGATCACTGTGAGTTCAAGGCCAGCCTGGGCTACATAGTGAGTGCAAGGCCAGCCTGAACAACATGGTGAGTTGTCTCAAAAAACCCAAAAATGAATATCAAAAAGGAACAACTTGCTCATGCTGATATGCATCATACCCAATTGTGAAGCTTATTAAAAATATTTCCTAATATATATATATTTCCTAATATATATATGTTTCCTAATATAAAATTACACACACACACACACACACACACACACACACACTATAAAAACCAAAAAACAAAATAGATATATTTTCTGGTGGTAGTGGTAATTGAACCCAGGGTGTAATTGTAATTGGCAAGTGCTCCAGCCCTGAGCTACTTCTCAAGCTCTTTTTATTTTGAGATAGGGTCCCACCATGTTGTCCAGGCTGGCCTCGATGCCTCAGGCTTCTGAGAACCCTGGATTACAGACATGTGCCACCATGCCTGGCTGGGCAGCTGCATTTTAATAAGCTTCTACTTGAGATGAACAAGTACTCTCTCTACTTGTGTGAGAGCCATTGTTAAAAAAGTAGGGTTAGATTCTAGGACCAGCCCGTAATGGTTTATTTAACTCATAACCAAACCAGCTTAACTATTTCATTTGTTCCATCATTTATTTATGTAGAACTAATATTTTTGTCGCTTAAAGGGATTTAGGATTGCTTGGGACTTTAATGTAAAATAGGAAGTGGAAAAAATAAGGGACCAGCTTGTAGTGGTTCTTTTTTTGTTTTTGTTTTTGTGTTTTTGAGACAGGGTCTTGCTATGTAATTCAGGCTGGCCTTGCACTCTCACTGTATAGCCCAGGCTGTCCGTGAACTTGCAGTGATCTTCCTGGCTCAACCTCCTGAGTGCTGGGTTTATAGGTGTGTGCCCTCATGCCTGGCTTGTAGGGGTCCTCCCCCACTATCTGTCCTAATACCCCCCACCCCTAATTTCTGAATCAGATACCTGGACCCTGGAAGTGAGTCTAGGGATAGATAGTTTGAAGTTTCTCTAGGATTTTCTGACCCACATTCATAGCAAGATCCCTTGAGAGATTCAACACACATGGGTGGGTGGTGGATGGGGAAGCTCGTTGGAGCTGACTGGCTGTTTGAAGTCTTTGAGTCTCAGACTGGAGTGCTGCTATCCCTAGGACACAGGATAATGTTTGAGGGATTGACAAGTCCATAGGAAAATACAGGATAGCTTCTTGGGCAATCATGTTAAAGTGAGGGAGAATTAATTTTTCTCTTAATGTAAACGTAGATGTATCATGGAGTAGAACTTAAAATTCATACAGATTTCTAATGTAAAACACAATTTTCATTTGTGTACTTCAGGCTGACACTTGGCTTATGCCCCTGCTCTGTGCTGAGATTTGTGCCCTTAGCATGCAGAGTTTTGAGGGATGTTTGTAAGTCAGTCATCTGTCTATAGCTAAAACAGTTCATTTTAGGACAAAACATAGACATGACTTTTTAATGTTTAGGTATATGTTATAAATTTTCTATGAATTTTGTATAATGTGCATCCTCCTTTCCCTCTCCCCAAAGTCTACTAGTCCAGAAGACTCAGAAAAGAAACGCACTAATTATCAAGCTTATCGAAGCTACTTAAATCGAGAAGGTCCTAAAGCTCTGGGCTCCAAGGAAATACCAAAGGTAAGAGTACTGAGGAAGCATGCGGCCACATGTGTATTTATCACGCTTATCCAAGCCACAGAGAAGCAGTAATTAAAATCAACAACTGGAAAGTCTCATTCACCTCTGTATGAATTAGGGATGTTGGTGTTATGAATCACTGCTGAATATTTAGGAAATGTTTTGTTTAAATAATAAGTAGTCCTAGAAGGCCTGGGCTATGACAATGCTAGTGTTCTTTGCCGTTTTGGCACTGACCACTTAAAGAAATGTTAAATATGTATTATTTAATTGCAGTTACAATAATATATGCCAGGAGGAAAAAATCCAGGGTGCTCGCTTTTAGAGTATAAAATAGAGGGACTTGGCCTCAGGTGGGACATGTAGAATAAATGATACTGAGATGGGGACCTGAGGAATGAGGGTCATGGCAACACGGTGACCTGAGGGTCAGAATATGTGATGTCCTTGAGGGAGGGAAGGATCTTACATGGTATGTGTGAGGAACTAAAGGAAAAGTGAAGTAGTTGGAGCAAAGGGACTAGGAAATGAGAGTGACTGAAGAGGTTAGTAAGGACCCTATCTTACAGAGCCTAGTGTTTTGAACTTGTATTTACTTATTTTTAGGTGGTACTGGGGATTGAACCTGGGCCTTTGGACTAACTTTATCCTCAGCCTTTTAAAATATTTTTTTCTTTTGAGACAGCGTCTTGCTAAGTCAGTAAGTTGCCCAAGTTGGGCTCAAACTGGTGCTCCTCCTGCCTTAGCCTCCCAGAGTGCCAGGATTACAGGCATGTGCCACCACACCCGGCCAGTGTTTCAGACTTTTGTCTAAGAGAAAGAGTTTCCAGTGGAGGAATGTAGGGAGCAGCTTTGCAGATCCGAAACGCCATTCTGACTGATGCATGTAGATGGTAGAGGTGGCGGGAATAGCTGTTGGAAGTGCAGTTAGGCGAGGGGATGAGAAGTGGTCGGGACTTGTCTGAGGGCCAGAGGAAGTGCTGAGAAGTGACACAGTCTCAGTGGAAGAAGTAGAAGCTGCAGGACTTGGGATAATTGGACACTGGAAGTGAGAGACAGTGAGTATGGGGCTGACCTCCTGGTTCTGACGTGAGCACGTGGGCGAATGCCAATTCCAGGGGAGGCTGAGTTTGTTGTTGGCCACGTGAGGTGCCCATGTGGAGGTGCTGAGGAGATGGTGCATATGTGGGTGTGAAGCTCAGAGCAGAAGTCAAGGCTGCACGCATGCTTGGGCATTTCTGACATGTGAATAGTATTTGGAGGGCTAATGTCGTCTGACAGACTGGTTCAGAGGAGAATGAATGCATTGTCCTCTATGACAGAGTGGTTCAAAGCAAAATGAATGCATTGTCCTCCACTTCTGCGAGAAGTAGAGGAGAGGGAAACTGAAAGGAGTCTGAGAGGAAGCAGCCACAGACATAAGAGAGAAGTCTGATACAGGTAGTATCACAGAAGCAAAGGCAAGAGGGTGTTTTTAAATGATTGAATGGTTGGTTATGCCTGTCATGTTGCTAAGATTCTGGGAAAGAGGAGTCTGAGATGTCCATTGCACATGGTAATGTGAATAATGGCCCTTGTGACCTTAGCTAGGGCAGTTTCAGTAGAATGGTGGAGGCAGGAGAGCCTGATGGGAGTGGGTTTAAGAGTGTAGAGGAAGAATGGAGACAGTAAATATTTTTGATAAGCTTGGTTGTAAAGGGGAGAAGAGAACACTCCTCGGTAGAAATGGAGGATGGGATTTAGGGGAGAGATGTGGGCATTTTTAAGGTAGGAAGTACTAAAATCATGTGTTTTGCTGAAGGGCCAGATCTACCAGAAGGGAAGATGGAAGATTCACTAGAAAGAGAAGGATAGGAGGCCGGGGATTTAGGTCAGTGGTTCTGCCACCTGCCTCACAAGCACACGGTCCCGAGTTCGATCCCTGGTACCAAAAAAAAAAAAAAAAATGGAAGAAAGAGAAGGATAATCAAATGTAGTGTGAGATTTCTGAGAAGGGGGCAGGGGAGAGGAGACATGTACAGAGTGTATATAAATTTAATTTTCACTTTGCTTGATATCAAAAAGATGTGCTGTTCCATTTCCCACTAAAGAGAGACTGAGGATGGTGAGGCTGGGATGGGGGCGGAGGGAAGGGGTGAGCCTACAGCGGCTAGTGGGTTGGGGTATGCGGAGTAACCCTGAAAGACCAAACAGGTCCTTGCCTGAGAGGACTTTGGCAAAGTGCTGTCCTTAGGGAAGGCAGGTTTCAGGGGAGGTAGGGCTGTGCAGGGAGTGTTGGAGGAGAGGTCAGGCATTTGGTCGGTTTGCTGCTCCTGGAATAAGAGCTGTAGAGTTCTAGCATGGAAGCGTTGGGAGAGTGAAAAGATACTGAGCTAGAGTGCGTGGTCACTCAGGCGACAGTACATGGTTGGGGTTTGGGACGTAAGGCCTCATATTTGGAGTTTTCCAGGTTAAAATTTGAATCTAGTGAGGATTTCAATACCTATAGTGGTGCAAATCATTGTAACCCTAGAACTGTAGGGCTTGAAGGGGTCTTGAGTTGCAAACTTTTTCTTTCCAAGCTGATTCATAGCTGTTCTTTTTTTGGGGGGCGGTCTTAGAAGAAAGATTCTTCCCTTGGATGGAAAAGATTGAACTTGTGTTGAAAAAGTCTTTGCATTTTGTTTAGCTTTTCTTCAAGCCTGTTTTAAGTCTATGTTGATCTCAGTTCTCTAGAGTAGTAAGTAACTTGACATGTCATATACAATTTTTGTTTTACTATATTGTAAATATATGCAGTTGCAGTTAAAATTACATGACATCTCCATCCAGCACTTTTTGGTTAGTGTCTCTTGGATTATCAGATAACCTTTTTTTTTTGGTACCGGGAATCAAACTTGGGACCTTGCGCTTGCGAGGCAGGTGCCAGAACCACTGAGCTAAATCCCCAGCCTTTTTTAAAATTCTTTTTTCTTTTTTTTTCAGATAACCTTTTCAATCAAGAAATGATACGATCTTTCCTTTAAGTTCCTCACAGTTCGCTAGATTTACTGTTGTAGCATAGTAAGCAGAGAGAAGGGCGGGAGCTCAAACTTCAGAAGCTTTTCCCAATCAGCACTCCCTTTTAACAATAGCAGGCGTTTATGTGGGCAAATTGTATTTGGGTGTTTACTTAAATTAACTAAGTTAATGGTTCAAATATAAAAAACATAATGAAAAGAAGAGAACATAATGGGAAATAATATGAATGGGTAATTTTACTAAGCTTTGCTAGTAGATTGAGTGTATGTCTCGGTCTTCATTTTACAAGTTTATTAAATGTTAGCTACATAAGAATTTCTCACGATTTAGTGTCAAGTTCTATGTATTTGCTGTAAAATTCCAGCCAATTTTTCATACTGAAGTTATTTATGATGTCAAATGAGAGAAATCAACTTGCTGCACTTTTGATGCCAAGTTTTTTTGGAAAGCTACCATGTAATTTCTCTACTTGAACATTTTTGTTTTTAGGGAGCTGAAAATTGCTTGGAAGGCCTTACATTTGTGATCACAGGAGTGCTGGAGTCCATTGAGCGAGATGAAGCCAAGTCTCTAATTGAACGTTATGGGGGGAAGGTAACAGGAAACGTCAGCAAGAAAACAAACTACCTTGTCATGGGTCGTGACAGCGGACAGTCCAAGAGTGACAAAGTATGTCCCACTGTGCTCTGCACACAGTGATAGCCTGCTTGCCTTGTGATGTGACTGTGGTGATGTCCTTTCCACAGAAGAGAAAAAAAGTGGAAAAGGAACTTTGTTCGTACATTATTTCTTCTCCACATCAAATGTTGACTTCACCCCCAGGACTGTGGTTTTCCAGTTGAAGACACAGTGCCTGCTAACTTGACTTTCTTTTAAGTTTGTTTTTTTGGTTTTTTTTTAAGAATAGAAATGAATGTAATCTTTTTTCCTTCTAGTTCTACCTATTCCTATATATGCCATGATGTATTCCATCTTGTTTTTAAAAGGAAGCTCTAAGGGGAAGAGTCAGAGGTCTGTTGGGTAGGATGTTTAGTTTCAAGTGACGGAATACTCAGTCAACCATGATTTAAATAAACTGCTGGTTATTTTCCTCACCTAACAAGAATGCCAAAGGCAGACAGTAGCTGGGATAATGGAGCTAGATGAGTCCTCTCTTCCACTTCTATCACGTGTATCATGCTAGTTTTAGTCCTTACTTTTTTTTTTTTTTTGGTACCAGGGATTGAACTCAGGACCTTGCACTTTTGAGGCAGGCGTTGGAACCACTGAGCTTAATCCCCAGCCCCAAGTCCTCACTTTTTTAGCTGTTTTTTTTTTTTTTTTGGTACCAGGGATCGAACTTAGGTCCTTGCACTTTTGGGGTAGGCGGTGGAACCACTGAGCTAAATCCCTGGCCCTTAGTCCTCACTTTTTCAATTGTGATAGAAATCCAGCCCCATTTGCTTTAGCAAAAAGGAAAAGATGTTGGCTCCCAGAGCTAAGCTGTATGGAAGGTGGGTCTTGCCTAGGAACTCTTGGATCCAGAGACTGCAGTGCTTTCAGAACCCTTTCATTTCCTGTCTCTGTTTCTCCTGGTGTCAGCCTCAGTCATTCTACCTGTGTACCTGCCTTTTCCACATAAGGGACACAGTAATGCCGTCATGTTGCCTGTACTGACAGCAGAGAAAGGGAGCAATGGCAAGATGTCATAATAGCTATAACTACTGACAAGTGTTCTCCCAGAAACCTCTCTTGTAGGATTCCACTTACATCTCATTGGCCAGAGCTGTATGTGGACATTTAAAGCTATAAGGACATTGGGGAGGAGCAGAACTTCTCTGATTGCCTTAGACAGTCAAAGTCAATCACTTGGAGAGAACAAGGTGGTGGAAAATATCTCCTGTATTGAGTTAACATGGGAGAGGGTGTGAAGAGGGGACTTAGGTGCTTGGCTATGTCCTTTTTTAAGCAATCCACAGAAGCAGTAATATGACATTACTGCTGCCAACCTACCACTCTTAGGGAGTGTATCTGTCATTTTCTTCCTTTTAATGGTACTTTTCCAAAGAAAATTTTTTTTAATTCCAGTGATACTTAATTTATAAATGTTGCTTTTTACCTACTAGTAGGCCTTAGAATTATTTTTTTCTTTGCAGAAAGGAATGTTAGGATGCAGTTTTGATAATTTGCATTTTTAATCAATAGGCAGCAGCCTTGGGGACAAAAATTATTGATGAAGATGGCCTATTGAATCTGATTCGAACTATGCCAGGCAAGAAGTCCAAGTATGAAATAGCAGTTGAAGCTGAGGTTTGTATAAAATGAACTTGATTTATATAAGTTAGAGCACAGAAACTTTCCCATTTCATGGAGCCATAGCTTGGGTTCTAGCCATTGGCTAGATGATTAACTGCCCCTTCTACCACAAATTATCTTACCGAATTTCCTTTTGACTGGAAGGCTTTGCTTTAGGACATCGTCTTTGTTGTGTTTCCTTACCTTTCACAAAGCAATAGTAGGGGTGTAGGGGTGGGGAAGGAGACAGTGTATTCCACATCCCTACTTATTAAACTTTCCTTATATCCCGTATTCCTACTTGGACTTTAACACAAAGGTTTGGCTTTGAGTTCTTTAAAGGATATGTTGTAGATATCAGGATAATACATTTTATTAGGACTTTCTCAGTTGTGATAGAAATCCAGTAAATATTGGCTTTAGTAAGTAGGAAAAAATGAAATGTTAGCTTACATAGCTAAGCTATGAGCAGCTAAGCTGGGAGCATGTTTTTGTCTAGAAACTTCTGCATCCAGAGACCGGAATATTTTATTTATTTCATCTCTCTCTGCTTCTTTTAGTGTTAGCCTCATTGATTCTAACTATATACCTGTCTTTTCCATATTTAGGACACAGGTGTGTCAGCATCCCAAGAGTAATGTCTCCAGCATGTCATCAAAGTGGCAAGATGGTCCACCCAGTTTATTCTAGTCAGAAAAATCTTAGGAAATGATTTGTGTTACTTAAACATAGTAAAGTGGTAAGAAACAGGAAATTAACAGTGATACCATATTGTAAATTACACGTATTAGTTGTACTTCACATTGTCTTCTGTTGTCCTATTTCGTTTTTTTTTCTTCCCCATTAAGTTTATTGGTACATTTTAGGTATACAATACAGTTACATCCATCATTGGGATCTTGTACCTTTACATGATGTATCTTGGTTCTTATTTTTTTCCCCTTCCCCTGCCCTTCCTTTACCCCCTCCACCCTTCCCTATTTACAAGGACTTTGTTTCCATTTTTTTCCTTTTCTCATATTTTTTCTTT